TATTCAAAGTGGTCACTCTCACTGGAGGGCAGTGGCAGAAATCTTTCAGGTCATCTTAGATATATTTGTTATTTCCTCATTAAGAGTTCCTGTTATAGATTGCTTTTCTGTAAATCAGAGATGTTAACACTGCGTTGCTCTTCAGATTGCTATGATGAAGTTGTGAGAACACAGAAGATGTGCTGTGGTCATGGCAGACCACTGCTATTAAAAGTATGGATACAATTAACACTACAGTGACTACTGGGGACCTGCTGCTACCTCCCTTGAATTCCTTGGCGTTAATTATGTATAGCCTCTGGCAGTTCACGCAGCATCCTCATTGAAGTTTTTCTCTATTAGTTGAACATGAGTGCTGTGGGATGTTCTGTATGTCCTGTGGGAGCCCTTCTTGGGTTCTTTGTGGCGTTACCCAGCAGGTCCGCATAGAGGATGATTAGGACCATGGGCCTGAGTTCAGGTGTCTGAGATGGTCTGCACTTGGCTGTGCTGGGGGATGGTCTATATGTCAAGTTGTTCTGATTGATCAATAAATAAAACCTGATCGGCTGTGGCTAGGCAGGATAAAAGGACAGGAAGGCAGAAGGACTGGCTGCAGCAGCCGCCATGACCAGCAGCATGTGAAGATGCCGGTGGGCCACCAGCCACGTGGCAAGGTATAGATTTATGGAAATGGACTAATTTAAGCTATAAGCACAGTTAGCAAGAAGCCTGCCACGGCCATACAGTTTGTAAGCAATATAAGTCTCTGTGTTTACTTGGTTGGGTCTGAGCGGCTGTGGGACTGGCGGGTGACAGAGATTTGTCCTGACTGTGGGCAAGGCAGGAAAACTCTAGCAACACATGAGAATCCCTATTTGCCCAAGAAGCTGAGGACCTTCCAATCACCATAAAGTCTCCTGGAAGAGTTTCTCCTTCATTCCTCTCTGTGACAGTGGTTCCTAGAGTCAATATGATGAGATTTCTATATATGACCCTTTTCAGTGATATTCACACATACATAAACACATACACAATGAACACACACTTGAGGAAGTAATTTCTTGTGTTATAATTACACAGATTGCCTTTACACCACAGTCTTAATTTTAGCTTCAGGGAGCTTTCATATTCTGAGCCATAATATAAGCTTGTGAGTGATGACCATGCAGAGTAATTTTCTAGAATTAAGTTAGTGTAGAGTAAGTTCCAGATAACTCCCATGTATTGTTTGTAGTGAAAAAATACGACACGTTATTATACTACTTATGAAAATTGTTAGAAATCCTCTTCACGGTATCCCTCAAATATTCATTGCACTTTCTTTCATGTTTAAAAGTACAACAAAACGAACATTTTTGATGTTAATCATTAATTGAACTTGCACAGTCTCAGAGACTTTAACATACTGTACAAGAAACTCTACCACTTAGCTACACCACTTTCCAAGCTTATCAATATTTTTATTGTTTTTCAAATAGATGTATTGTGTTTGGGGGCATTTATTTTTTGTTTCTTTCTATTCAACTTATTCTAGAGGGATTTAATTTCAGGTGAATTCTTTAATCTCTTTTCTTTTGTGTCTGAGGTCTTGAAGAATGCCGTACAGTGTGGATTTTTGTGTGTGATGTTTGGAACCATCATGGGTACATTTTCTTGCCCTGAGTATTTCTGCTGATGGAGGAATGAAGGGTATCAGGCCGCTCACTTTGAACTGTGAAGTCTGCTGTGTTTTCTCACATAATCCACCTTACCCAGAAGTGGTGACCTGACAGGGAAAAAGCAAAGAGATATACAGTTGCAGCCACCAGCACCAGTATGCGACTTTCACAAAATGAGAAGCTGAAGAAAGGGGAGAGCCTCTACTGTCTTAACACCCCTGGAACTCACAACGTGTAAGTGGTGACATTCGATGTCCTGCTCACCAGTGTGGGTCTGCAAGGTTGAGCTCTTTTTGTCATGTTTAACAATAATACTGCACTTTTCTGTTCATGTTTCTTGCTAAATATCATCTGTCATTTCCAGTAGTTGATGCACATTCCAAATAAAACTTTGCCCAGATAGAGGGTAATTTTTGTTCTTAATTCTCGTAACATTTTGATTACAAATTTTAGTACTTGATATTGTATTTTCAGCTAGACAGAAATTAATCCTTTCACTGAACACTTATTGAACACTTGGTTATGACCAAGCATATATTTGGGCATTAGGAATACTGACTTCAGAGCAAGTTGTGTTAAAAACAAAATAAAAACCAAACCAAACCAAAACAACAACAAAAACAGAATGAACAGACAATCTCAGATCACCACTGGCCAGGTGAAAAAGCACAGGGAGTTTACTTCATATCCTCCTGTCTCTCTGTACCATGTGGATAATGACATCACCTCCTATATAAGCCTTCAAAGAATCTGTAAAAAAGCCTTGGAAATGTTGCTATGAATATAATTTCTATGTGAAGTTCAAAAGCATTAATAAGTCATGAACCTTACCGCCATGAGGCTTAGTGTAGGACAAGCATACAGAGTAAAGTGAACTACAGCAGTGCTGTGGAATGTTGTTCTGTATGCTGAATGTATGTTTCTCTAATTGGTTTATAAATAAATTGTTGATTGGCCAGTAGCCAGGCAGGAAGTATAGATGGGATAAACAGACAATGAGAATTCTGGGAAGAAGAAGGCTGAGTCAGGAGTCACCAGCCCACCATCTAGGGAGCAGCATGTAATAGCACACAGGTAAAGCCACAGAACATGTGGTGACATAGATATTAACAGAAATGGGCTGAGTTTAAGTGTAAGAGCTAGTCAATAGAGAGTCTAAGCTAATGCCCAAGCAGTTATAAATAATATCAAGCCTCTGTGTGATTATTTTATAAGCAGACCATGGGACTGCAGGGCCCAGGCAGGACCAGAGAAACTTCTAGCTACACAACAGTCATGCATATCATTTCCATGAAGGTAAGTGTAGGACAAGTACACAGGATGCAGTGAACTATAGCAGTCATTTAGTTGGTGTGAAGAGTTAAGTAGAATCCTACAGCCATGAGCTTGGTACTGATGACTCAGTAGTAGTGGAGCAATTTGAAAAAAAACCTACAAAATACCTAACTGATGGGATACAAGGAGCTCAGCAGAGAGAAAGCTTTGAGATACAATGTAGGATAGCTGTACAAACCAATAGCTACACTGGGGGTGGGGGTGGGGGTGGGAGGCTCATCTATTCACATTACAAGATGGAAAGGAAAATATGCTATTAATATTCTGCAGTATTAATTCTAACTTTGCAATTGCCAAACCTCATGAATGAATGGAATGCAACATTAGACCAGGCGCACCAGCTCTCAGAATTAGAGAATCAAAGAGGAGCAGAATCAAGATAACTTCAGCTCTTCCTCTTCTGGAACACCATGGATCAGACTTCTCAATCAACAATATTTAAGCACTTCTCTATTTTGGGCAGGGAGTAGAACATTTGCTCTGCAATTAGTAACATCGAGAGTTTAAGGAGTTCCCAGAAATGTCAGCCTGGGAAAAATCATGTTTTCCTCTCATTTCCCATCTGTAAAAGACAACCAAAGTCTATCTGTTTTATATCATTGTGGGTGAAGTTAACAAACTTTCTCTTGTACTGTTTATGTAAATGATCCAATTCTTACTACATGTTATAACCCCAAAGAAACTCAAAGGAAACAGACATTTCCATTCATCCATCTTTTGAGTTGGTCTGGAGCAAGAAGGTATTTGAAAAATACTGAAACATTGAGGTAGAAATTGGAAGTCAAAGGCCCAGAAAACAAAAAACAAAACAAAACCAAAACAAAAAAAAAAGAAAAGAAAACAGATACAAAAAGAAGAGCAAACTTTACACATAACCAATATCATTTAAAGGAGATCTCAACAGCTCGTTAAATATGGTGGAACCCCGGGCTGAGGCCAGGTCTCTTGCTTGCTTGAGAGGTGCACTTTTTATTACAAAAGGACACGTGAGAATTAAGAATAAAACAGTGCAGGAAAAAAATACCCTGCAGCTAATTAAGCGCTTCATACTCTTTAGGAGAAAAGTTGATGCACGTGTTCCTCAACCCGTATATTACACTTGGAATCTGTCACGGCAAGGGTGGGAAATCACATTTGGTGTTCTACTTTCCTCTAAGTAGCCCTGTGTTTTGTAGTTTCCATTATCTTGCCATCTTACTAATGAAGAATTATTATGGCAAAGAAATCTTCAGAGGCAGTTTAAACTGGCAAACAGCTTAAAGGGGAGGAAAGGATGCTTTCAATCTGCAATCAGGGACTCCTAAACGTTAGGACACACATCATCTTGGTCCCAATCTCCCACCAGAGCCACAATCATAATGCATTTCCTTGTGGAGTGTGTGTGTGTGTGTGTGTGTGTGTGTGTGTGTGTGTGTGTGCAAGCACAAGTGTGTATAAACAAAACTCAGCAAAAGGAATCCTTTTGGATTTTCAGCAAAGCATGTATTTAAAGAGATGGAAATGAATCAAAAGTGCATCCCTAAAGACTGACAGATGTGTGGAATTCAGAGGTAAGTTACAGAATATGGACTATATTTTGCAGGGGAAAAAATGCCAAGCAATTAACAAAGGAAAAGATGTGAACGCAGAATTTTCCTGTGATGAAACAGAAAAATAAGTTTACCTGTGTATTCCTACTACAGAGCAAGGAAGCATGTCTACTCAAAGAGCTCAAAGAGGAAATCAGAAACATTGATGAATAGATGTTTCTTTCCCATCAAGATCAACACCCTTTCTATTCACTTGAGATCTTCGTGAGATTTAGGAAAACAAACATGGCTTACTGAAGGGAAATGGTCCTTTGGTGTGTTCTAGGACAGTTAGTGAACCCTGTCTAAAACCACAAATGAAAAAACCACAAATGAAAAAATCAAGTTCTGTTTAAGCACAAGTAAGGTTAGTGTTAAAACACACAATGAGAAAATTTCATACACGCATGAAATTTCACATTTGAAAATAGTCTGAGAAGTGCCGAGCCCCCGCCACGATGTTGGGCAGGTTTCTGGGCCCATGCTACTGGGAATTGGCCAAGAACTGGGTCCCCACAGCCAGCATGTGGGGTGCTGTGGGTGGTGTGGGGCTCGTGTGGGCCACAGACTGGTGGCTAATTCTGGAATGGGTGCCTTACATCAATGGCAAGTTAAAGAAGGATGATTAGACAACCCCTCGCTACACACAGGATCTCCCTGGGGCCACATCCTGCTGCCCTCAGAAACAGCCCAGTGGAGGATGCTGACGAAGCCGGACATTGAGGAAGCCAGCATCATCCTGGGGGAACCTCTGCTTTGATGGACACTTGGGCTGCCTTGATGGGTTTTAGCATTAAGCCTTGTTCTTAACACCTCTGGAAAAAGAAAGAAAGAAAATAGTCTGAGAAATATGTGATTTATACCAGTTACTTCTTCTGCAGACTATTAATTTTAAAACTATGATTGAGATAATTGTTCTATTATTTATCTATTGCTGTGGAAGAAATTACCCACAAACTTTGCAGCATAAAACACATACTTTTTTCCCTGTTGTTGAATTCTTTTTTTTTTTTAAATTTTGTTTAAAAAAGTATTTTATTCATTTTATATACCAACCACAGATCCCCCTGTCATCCCTCCTCCTGCTTTCTCACCTTTCAGTCTGGCTCACTCCCATCCCCTCCTCCAAAAGAGTAAGTCCTCCCATGGGGGCACAGCAAAGCCTGGTACATTCACTTGAGGTAGGACCAAGCCTCTTTCTCATGCACCAAAGGTAAGCAAGGCATCCCATCATAGGGAATGGGCTTCAGAAAGTCAGCTCATGGACCAGGGATAGATCCTGATCCCACTGCAAGGGGCCCCTCAAACAGACTCAGCTACACAAATGTCTTCCATATGCCCAGGGTCTGGTCCAGTCCTATGCAGGTTCCACTTCTGTTGGTCTAAAGTTTATGAGTTCCTATGAGCTTGGTTCAGTTGTCTCTGAAGATTTCCCCATCATGATCTTAGCTCCCCTTTCTCATATAGTTCCTCTTCCACCTCTAACTGGGCTCCCGGGACTGAGCCTGGTGCTTGGTTGTGGATCTCTGTATCTGCTTCCATCAGTTACTGGATAAAAGCTCCATGATGAAAGTTAGGATATTCACTAATCTGATTACCAGGGTAAGCCAGTTCAGGCACCCTCACCACTATTGCTTGTAGTCTAATCTGGGGTCATCCTTGTGGGTTCCTGGGAATTTCCCTAGTATCAGTTTTCTCCCTTATCACATAATATCTCCCCTATCAAGATACCTCTTTCATTGATCTCCTACTCTGTTCCTCACCCAGTTCAACCACCCCATTCCCTCATATTCTCATCCCCTATTCCCTCTCCTCTATTGCCCCACATCCTCACTTTACTCATGGAGATCTCCTCTGTTTCCCCTTCCCAAGATGATCCACGTATCCCTCTTGTTTCCTAGCTTCTCTGGAGCTTTGGGTTGTAGTCTGAAATTCCTTTACATCTAGTATCAATTTGTGAGTGAGTACATATATCATGTGTGTCTTTCTGAGTCTGGGTTACCTCACTCAGGGTGATATTTTCCAGTTCCATCCATTTGCCTGCAAATTTCATGATGTCATTGCTTTTTTACAGCTGAATAATACTCCATTGTGTATATGTACCACGTTTTCTTTATCCACTCTTCAGTTGAGGGGCATCTAGGTTGTTTCCAGGTTCTGGCTATTACAAACAATGCTGATATGAACATAGCTGAGCAAGTGCCCTTGTGGTATGATTGAGCATTCCTTGGGTATATGCCCAAGAGTGGTATAGCTGGATCTTGGGGGAGATTGATTCCCAATTTTTTAAGAAAGCACCATATTGATTTCCAAAGTGGTTGTACAAGCTTGCATTCCCACCAGCAGTGGAGGAGAGTCCCCTAGTTCCACATCCTCTCCAGCATAAGCTGTCTTCAGTGTTTTTGATCTTAGCCATTCTGACAGGTGTAAAATAGTATTTCAGAGTCGTTTTGAGTTGCATTTCCCTTATGACTAAGGATGTTGAGCAATTCCTTAAATATCTTTCAGCCATTTGAGGTTCTTGTGTTGTGAATTCTCTGTTTAGCTCTGTAGCCCATTATTTAATTGGACTGTTAGGTATTTTGATGTCTAGTTTCTTGAGTTCTTTATGTATTTTGGAGATCTGTCAGATGTGCTGTTGATAAAGATATTTTCCCACTCTGTAGGCTGTTCTTTTGTCTTATTTTCTGTGTCCTTTGCCTTACAGAAGCTTTTCAGTTTCAAGAGGTCCCATTTATTAATTGTTGCTCTCAGTATCTGTGCTACTGGTGTTATATTTAGGAAGTGGTCTCCTGTGTCAATGCATTCTAGCCTACTTCTTACTTTTTCTTCTATCAGGTTCACGACAGCTGGATTTATGTTGAGATCTTTGATCAACCTGGATTTGAGTTTTGTGCATGGCAATAGATATGGATCTATTTGCAGTCTTCTCCATGTTGACATCCAGTTATGCCAGCACCATTTGTTGAAGATGCTTTCTTTTTTCCATTGTACAATTTTGGCTTCTTTGTCAAAAATCAGGTGTTCATAGGTGTGTGGATTTATGTCCAGATCTTCAGTTCAATTCCATTGGTCCACATGTCGTTTTTCATGCCATTACCAAGCTTTTTTTTTTTTTTAATATTATAGCTCTATAATAAACCTTGAAGTCAGGGATGGTGATGCCTCCAGAAGTTGCCTTATTGTAAAGGATTGTTTTAGTTATCCTGTTTTTTTTTCTTTTATCTTTCCATATGAAGTTGAGTATTGTTCTTTTGAGGTCTGTGAAGAATTGTGTTGAGATTTTGATGGGGATTTCACTGAATCTGTAGATTGCTTTGGTAAGATTGCCCTTTTTACTATGTTAATCTTGCCTATCCATGAGCATGGGAGACCTTTCCATTTTCTGATATCTTCTTCAATTTATTTCTTCAAGGACTTTAAGTTCTTGTCATACAGGTCTTTCAATCATTTGATTAGAGTTAGTCCAAGTTATTTCATATTATTTGTGGCTATTCTAAAGGGTGAAGTTTCTCTGATTTCTTTCTTGGCCCATTTATCATTTGTGTATAGGAGGGCTACTGATTTTTTTTTTGAGTTAATCTTGTATCCTGCCACATTACTGAAAATAAAACACATACTTAATATTAGCAGGTGAATGTAAGGCTATGCTTCAGGAATGGCTTAGCTGTGTGTTCCAGCAGAGAGACTCCTGGGATGCTGAAGTGATGACACCAACCATGGTAGTGAACACTCCTGACTGCAGGGCAGTCCCCCTTATCCAGATTGAAATTAGTTGTTTGAAATCATAAGGTTATTGCCAAACAAAATCATGAATTTGATTGTATCCTCTTCCAACCAAATAATTCCTCCTCTCCATTTTCTAGCCTTCCCCTAAAATTACCTTTCTTATTCTCACAGCATATCCTTATCCTTCTTTTCCTTTCTGTATAGTTTTATTTACAAAAATCATTTATATGCTACATAGATCACTTGCTTATTTAATACCATATAATAAGTATGTCCATATTAGTCATATTTCTAATATTATCTCTCTTTGATTTCCTAAAGCACACCTGTATCAATACAATCTTACACTTTTCACTTAATATTTTATTAGCACCCATGACCATTGGTTCATTTGTGTGGCTGTTGTATGTATTTGTATGTCTGTTATGTCACTGTAATGGTTTACTGGTACATTTCTTTCCTCTTTGGTGGGTGGTGCTAAGATTGCTTCTGATATTTTGCATGAACAATGATGTTGTGATCACTAAAAAGAAGAGTCAGCAGCAAAGAATTAATAAAATTAAAAATCTCTGTTCTAAAGAAGACACTTTCAGGCAAATGATAAAATAAGTCATAACGGGGGATTCCAGATGATTATTACTTTGGAAATATATTGTCAGTTTATTACAAATTAATTACACTTACACTATATAGCTCAGAAATGTGACTCCTTAGCATTTGCCCAGAAGAGCTACAGCATATGCTCACAAAACAAACACAAAACCACAAACAGAAATATCATCTTAGTCTACTCACAGTTTCCCAGACTTGGAAGCAATGGAATTTTCTTTCAATAAGTGAATAAAAGAAAAACCTAATATGCCAGACAATAAAATGTTAGTTGATGCTAAACAGATATCAGCTATCATTTCATCCTAAGGCATGGAGGAAAACTAGATGCACATTACTAAGAAGGTGTTGTTCTAAAGAGGCAACTACTTCATGATGGCAAGTATGTGCCACCCTGGCAAAGGCAACAAAGGTAGATCGTTTTAACTGGTTATGTCAGTCCAGCCATAGACTAGAGTAAGAGGAGTAAATACGGTGTAGAAGACATTCAGACCTCTTTACAATATAGACTAGTGAATACATGTTGTTACACATTTGCCTAAACCCATAGGAAGAACCTCTCTACAGTTAAGAATAATTCATAGCACAAGCCTCAGCTGATAATGGATTGGTGTGGTTCACTTGCAGCTCAGAGCACTTTAGTGCAAGATAATGAAGAAGTGTTCATGTGAGACAGAATTTTTATTTAAACTGTGTTGTTTTATGCTTATTATTAATCTAACTTGCACTAAAACTAAAGACAAATTTAGTTCAAATATTTCACTTATGTTTTTTAAAATGTATTTTTGTTTATATTCATATTTATATTTGTTTATGTATATATTCATGCATGAGGGTACCTCAAGAGGCCAAAGGAGGGCATTGAATCCCCTGGAACTAGTTATAGGCAGTTGCGATTCACCTGATGTGGGTGTTGGGATCCAAACCCTAGTCCTCTGCAGGGGCAGTAAGTGCTCTTAACCATGGAGCCATTTCTTCAGCCCCTAAATATTCTTATTAAAATATGTCATGCTGAAGTATAGGAGCTCAGCCCAGTGTTTGGTTGTGGATCACTGCACCTGCTTTCATGAGTCACTGGATGTAGGTTCTATAATGACAATTATAGTAGTCACTAATCTGATTATAGGGGAAGGTAAGTTCAGGCACCCTCTCCATTATTGCTAGGATTCTTAGTTGGTATCATCCTTGTGGATTCCTGGGGATTTCCCTAGCCCCAGGTTTCTCCCTAACCCCCAATGGTTCCCTTTACCAAGATGTTTTCCATTGCTCTTTCTCTCTGTCCCTCCTTCCACTCAGTCATCTCAGTCCCTCATGTTTCCCTCCACATCCCCTCCCTTCTACCATCCCTCCCAGTATATTTAGGAGATCTTAACTATTTTCCCTTCCTGGGGCCCTCCATATACATCCCTCTTAGGGTCCTCCTTTTTACCCAGCTTCTCTAGGGTTCCGGACTGTAGCCTGGTTATCCTTCGCTTTGCATCTAATATCTATTTAAGAGTAAGTGTATGCCTACCATGTTTAGACTTCAGTTGAAGAGAGGTAGGAGGGATCACAGGAGCAAATGAGGTCAAAATCATGATGGGGGAAATCACAGAGATATCTGATCCAAGCTGGTGGGAGCTCATGGACTCTGGCCTGTCAGCTGGGGAACATGCATAGGACCTCACTAAGCCCTGTGAATAAGGGTGACAGTTATGTGGCTAGATCTGTTCAGGGAGCACCTAACAGTGTGACCAGAACTTGTCATGGGTGCATGGAATGGTTTTTGGAACACATTCCCTAGGATGGGATACCTTGATCAGCCTTTATGGGGAAGGGGCTTGGTCCTGCTTCCATTTAGTATGCCAGACTTTGTTGACTCCCCAAGAGAGGCCTTACCCTCTCTGAGGAGTGAATGGGGGGTAGGATTGGGGGAGGGGAAGTGGCGAGAGAAGGGGAAAGAGGGGGAACTGGAATTGGTATGTTAAAAAAAAACACCTTTTTTAAAAAAAATAAATAAATTTTAAAAATGTGTCATTCTGTCTTAACAGGTAATTTTGGGAAATTTACCTGCTACTATTTTCTCAGACTTGGATGATTTTATCACTTTAATTGATGTTACTTTTTACAAACTCTTATAACTTTTAGTATTTTTTAAAAAAATTATCTGATTTATCTCTCTCTTATATAGAACTGGAATTTGAAACATTTTTATATTCATGGGTCACAACCTTTTTTTTTTTTAAACCAATCATGTAGGTGTCACATAGCATCTTAAAAATTCTGGGTATTTTTTGCCATTACTTATCTTTCTTTTCAGTCTCAAGTATTTTATTAAATGATAAGTATTTTTGTTAAGACATTTGATTAGCCTTACTTTGTATAGTAGCTATAAAATCTGCTGGATTTTTATACCTTTAAATCCACATACTTTGTGAAAAAATTGAGTGAATATAGATTTTCCTTTATATAACACAGCATTCTAGGGTGTGTATGTCTGAAAGGCATTATACTGTGCAAATATTATGCATTTACCATTGATTAATGTTTACAGTTATAAATTATTGATTCAAAATTTATTTTTTAATTTTTTTATTAAGAATTTTTTAATTCATTTTAGATACCAAGCACAGATCTCCCTCTTATCCTTCCTCCTGCTCCCCCTAGCCTTCCTCCCATCCTACCCCCATCCCCTTCTCCAAAAAAGTAAGGCCTCCCATGAGGAGTCAGCAAAGTCTGGTATATTCACTTGAGGAAGGTCCAAGCCCCTCTTCCACTGCATCAAGGCTGTGCAAGGTGTTCCACCATAGGGAATGGGCTCTAAAAAGTCAGCTCATGTACCAGGGATAGATCCTGATCCCACTGCCAGGGGCTCCTTAAACAGACCAAGCAACATAACTGTCTTGCTTATGCAGAGGTTCTAATCCAGTCCCATGTTGGCTTCACAGCTGTTGGTCTAAAGTTCATGAGTTCCCACTAGCATGGCTTGGTTGACTCTGTAGATTTCCCCATCATGATCTTGATGACCCTTGCTCGTAGAATCCCTCTTCCTTCTCTTCGACTGGACTCTTGGAGCTTGGCCTGGTGCTTGTCTGTGGATCTCTGCATCTGCTTCCCTCATTTACTGGATGAAGGCTTTATGATGACAGTTAGGGTAGTCACCAATCTGATTGCTGGGATAAGCCAGCTCAGGTAACCTCTCCACTATTGCTTGTAGTCTAAGCTAGGGTCATCTTTGTGGATTCCTGGGAACTTCCCTGGCACCAGGTTTCTCCTTATCTTTATGATGTCTCCCTCTACTAAGAATGGCCAAGATAAAAAACACTGATGAGAATTTATTTTGGAGAGAATGCAGAGCAAGGGGAACATTCTTCCACTCTTGGTGTGAGTGCAAACTTGTACAGACGATTTGGAAATCAATATGGCAGTTTCTCAGAAAATTGGGAAACAATCTCCCTCAAGACCCAGTGATACCACTCTTGGCCATATACCCAAGGAATGTTCAATTATACTACAAGAACACTTGCTCAACTATGTTCATTGCAGCATTGTTTGTAATAATCACAACCTGGAAACAACCTAGATGCCTCTCAACTGAGAAATGGATTAAAAAAAAATGTGGAACATATACACATTGAAGTACTTACTACTCAGCATTAAAACACAATGACATCATGAAATTTGCAGGCAAATGGATGGAACTGGAAAATATCACCCTGAGTGAGGTAACCCAGACTCAGTAAGACAAACATGGTATGTACTCACTCATAAGTGGATACTAGATGTAAAGCAAAGGATACACCAGACTACAACCCACAGCTCCAGAGAAGCTAGCTAACAAAGAGGACTCTAAGAGGGACACATGGATTGCCCTGGGAAAGGAAAATATATGAGAATTTCTGAATAAACTAGGGGTGAGGTGGGAAATAGAGGGTAAGTGATGGGGGATGAGAACATAAGGGAAGGAGATGTCGGGCTAGAACAGGGATACAGTGGGAGAGTAATCAAAGAGATACCGTAATTTTTTTTTCAAAATATTTCTTTGTTTTCATGCGAGCTAGGTGTCGACTATTGTAATGCCAACCTTATCCCTTTTCATAGATAGACTATGTTTCTTCCCTGTGAGCTATTTAAATATCCCATTGTCTTTGATTCTTTTTTATAGTGTTTGGATTGTCCCCGCTTAAAACTGCTCTCTGTGAACTGCGGTAAAAGTTTTTTATCTTATGCTCTCAAACTGTGAATGTTATATATCTACTTTCAACATTTAGTACACCCCACTCTGCTGATTCCTTTGGGATAACTTTGCACGAACTTGAGCCATTTGGGAAGAGGAAATCGTAACTGAGAAGATTCCCCTATAAGAAATCGAGTATTTCTCTGAATGATGATTGATATGGAAGGACAAAACCCACCATGGGTATTGCCACCCCTGAGGAGGTGGTTCTGGGTTGTATAAAAAACAAACAAACTGAACAATCCATGGTCAGAAAGCTAAGAAGCAGCACTCCTCCATGGCCTCTGCTTAAGTTCCTATTTTCAGGTTCCTGCATAGAGTTCCTGCCTTGTGTTCTCTCAGTGACAGGCTGTGATAGAGAAAATGTAAGCCAAATAGGCCAATTCCTTCCCAAGTTGATTTATGTCAGTGATTTTTTCACAGCAACAGAGAAAGTAGAACCCCTTCTCACCTTTTCCTGGTTGTTTATATTCTGTCTTTCCCTCTTGCTTCTTGTCTATGCTGTTGGTAGTGTTATGTGCTGCCACAATGGTTCTTTTCCCTCTCTCTTTTGTTAGGTGATCTTCAGCTGAGTTTTACATTTTCATTTCATCGTGATGGTGGTCATTGTCACTTACCATTTAGATGTAATGCTCCACTGAGCATGTCTGGTCATGATTAATCCCTTAGGTTCTGATTTTCTTGGAAAGACTATTTCTCTCCTTTTTGAAAGGCAGTTATGCTGAATATAATTATGCTTGACAGTTTTTTTAAATCACTTCCAATATGTCACCTCATCCTCTCTGCCCTGTAAAATTTCTGTTGAGAAAACTGTTGTTAATTTTGCAGAGATTTTCTTGCATGAGGCTTAATATCTTCCTATTATTCTGTCTCTATTTTGAACTTTGCAAAGTTTTAGTGTAATATACCTTAGGGAACTTTTTTTCCCCAAGATCTATGTGGGGTGTTTTTGTTTCCCATATTTTTCTAAAATTTGGAGACTTCAATTATTATTTGACTTAAATAAGTTTTTCTCCATGTTTCTCACCTTTCCCCTTCCTGGAACACACATTAGACACACCACACCCCCTCCCTTCTATCTTTCTCCCTTCCCCTCCCCTTCCCTCCCCTCCCCTTCCTCTCCCTCCCCTCCCCTCTCTTCCCCCTCTCTTTCTCTCTGCCGTGGGGATGGAACTCAAGATCTCAGGCACACTAGGCAAGTGCTCTAC